CAGGGAACAAGTGGCAGCTGCCTTGTTTGCTGTCACTTCATGTTAGTCCTTGAGGGGAAATAAGATCTTTGGAATCAGTCCCTGCAACCTGAGAAGTTTCTCTTGAGCTCTAGAAAAAGTTTACCACGGGACTTTTCCAGAACTGCTACTGCAAAGGTAAATTTAACCAGGGAAGAAAACCTCACTTGCCTTCTTGGTTCCCACCATACTGGCCAACTGTATGGTTCAAGTTCTGGACCCAGCAGCTTGGAAAACATGCTGGGCGCGTGTGCATGCGTGTCCAAAATCCCAAGAGGAGAATGGAGAAAAAGAGACTGTAGCATGGCCATTCTCCCAGGGGGTGATGTCTCACTTTATCTCTCTCTCCCTCTCTGGCAAGCACACACTCCCTATCACAATTTGTTTAAAATGTAAAAAGAAATAAGAAGAATCGCTGCCATGGAAGGAAAGAGACAAGCTGAGAACTGGTGTCACTTTCACCATCCCCTACCCGGCAGAGGTATCAAGACGAACCTTCTGTCTCCAGGGCTCCCAGCGTTGCTAGTCTTGCAGCTTTCAATCCAAATCCCAAGTAACTGTAAAATAGAGGATTGACCAATTTCATGCTGGTCCTGAAGTTTTCCAGCCTAAAGCTCCCTCCTTCAAAGGTATTTCTCGACTTTCCTCTGGAGAGTCTGACCGAGGGATTTCACGGGTGAACAGAGTCTGGATCAAGGCTATGCAGTAACAACTCCCCTCAGCTGATTCAAAGTCCAGAGGCAACTGTTAGGGACTGACAATGACTTCATAAGGCTGATCAGATGTAATGCAGATGTGAGAATGCTTTAAAGTTAGGAGACTCATACCATATGAAATCTTCCTCCCTGTCCCCTCCTCACCTATGTGTATAGAGCTTGTAAGTGCTGTTAAACATCTCAAAGGAAGTAAGGTAGCCTCTAGGGGTTTGTTCCAGGGTTTTCTGCAAATCAGAAAACGCAAAAAGACTATTCAGGATCTGCAATTATTTGAAGAGGTTATCATCACCATCCCTGTCCCTCCCCCCAAAAAATCAGAGATGGAGACAGATTAAGCTGCTAATCTCAAAAGGCTCCAGGAATCAGAGGGAGACTCAACAGTGAGTGGGCCAAGCGATCACTCAGTCATTTACCAGACTCTGCTCAGCCTATTTACGGTAGAGCTGCTACCTGGAGATGGGGTGCCACTGTCTTGGCACCACATGCCTGCCAAATACACTGCTAACCAGATCTTCATGTGAATGACTCACCTCAAACTGGGGCAGAAATGTGATTTGGGTGGAGGCCCCTCCCAGGTCCAGGGTTCCCACAGTTTCTTGGCCGTGGCCATGCAGCTGACCTGTCAATGAGAGCTGGCTCTGAATACCCTCCGACCTGGGCAGCCCCTGCTGGCATTTCTTTGCTGCCCTCCTTGTACACTGAAGGCATTCCATGAATACCCTTCTGCTCCCTGGCCCCTAGGCTGCAGGCGAATATTAATGCAGGAGGGTTCTTGCTGCAGCGAGGCCCCAAAGGCAGGTTATAAACATGAACTTCCTGTCTTTCTTTTCTTTTTAAAGAATGAACAATACAGGAAGAAAGAAAAGGATTTTTCCTCTCTGACCAAGTGTTTGAAAACCAGTTAAAGTCTTAAGATAAACTAAAAGATACATTACCTGTCAGAAAATTCACAGTAACCCAAGCTAATATGCCTAAAAAAGAAAGACAAGGATTACACAACCCAAATCTTTATTTTCTCTTTCCTGGCCCCATCTTTGTTTGTTTTTTTCTAAATTTCGTGTGCAGAGCACACATTCCCTTCTCTCTGTCCTTCCATTTCCTGCTGTCCCATCCAGTTCTTCCTGCTCGTTTGCTTCTCTTTACTTGTTCCTTTTTCTTCAGGACCTCCATCCCTGTTCTGAACTCCTCTAACTAGGTCTCTCTCTGACCCTCTTTCTCACCCCAGGAACATATACCCACACCTCTCCCACCTTCGTAGGAGCCATCCATGATGCTAACACTGTCATCTGGTACCAGGAAAGGTGACTTCTTGAAGATCTCCTTTACCTAAAGAAAAAGGGGGGGAAATCTGGGTGTTTTGTTTTTTTTTTTTAAAGAATTATTTACTTAGTTTTATTTATTATTATTCAATTTGACCAGAGAGAGAGAGACAAAGCAAGGCGCTAGGTCCAGGACTCAAATCGTAGTCAGCCATGTGAAAGTCTGGCACTTCAACTACCACTTCACCTGCCGGCACCAAAAATCTGAATTCTTAAGGCAACAAAACAGATTTCCATATTTTTGTTCTGTCCTACTCTTTATTATTGCTAGTTAAAATTTTAGCAAAATGCATTCTTTCTCCCTAAGAAACTAGAGAAGGAACTAGACAAGCCATTACCAGTTTCTTACCAGCGACTCCTCTGACTTTAACCTCCTCCTAGACTCAGTTCTTTAACATGCCAAGCATATTACTTTTGCACCTGCGGTTTCTTTAGCCTCAAATATTCTTCCCACAAATGTCTTGTATTTCTTTTTTCTTCATTCCCCTCAGGTCTCTGACTCCCCTCAGGTTCCCTGACTGCCCTACTTAAAATAGCCTCTCCCCAATACCACCAGTATTCCTACCTGCCTCACTCTGCTTTTTCTCCATAACGTCTACAGCAACAATGGTCATCGTTTTAACCGTTTACTTTCTGTCTCCCTGAAACTAGAATGTAAACTCCACGAGGGCTGGACTGTCTTTTCTGTTCCTGCGGTATATATCTCCAGAAACCTCACCAGAGACCAGTACATAGTACGACTCATGCTGAATGGATGAATGAGAAATCAGGCTTCAGATTCTCATGCAGACATACTCAGCTGCTTGTCTGTGGACAAGGGACTTAAGCCCTCTGTGCTGACAGTTAAAGGAAAATGGATTTGGAGAATTGAATTAGCATGCCTGTAATAATACACAGAATGCTTTGTTTCATTATAGTGGGATTCTGCCTATAAATATTTTTCATAACACAAAAGTTAAATCTTATTAATTTACATGTTTATGCGTAAGTGTGTACAATGCAATTTAAAATAATGAGTTTAACAGAACTCTCTTAAAATTTTCATCTGAATAAAAAGGGAATCATTGAAGATGGAAAAAAAAATCTTTTAAACTTCCAAATGTCATAATTCTTCTCAAAAACTTCATAGAAAAAAGCCAGATATTTAAAAATGAGAATATAAACAGTATGATTCTATTTATATGAAATGTAAGCACAAGCAAAATTCACCTCGAGGGACAGGAAACACACATGGCTTCCTGTCTTCAGGGGAAGGGAGCTGACTGCAAAGGGGCACGAGGAAACCTGTCTGTCAAAACTTAATGACAAACTAAGAATGCATACGTCCTACTAAGTTGATTCAAAACAATTTCTATGATTCTGCTTTAAAAAGTTAGAAGTCTGGGGCCTGCAGGTGGCGTGGTGCTTAAGGGCACTGGACTCCCACATGGCCAACCACAGTTTGAGTCCGGGACCTGGTGGCTTGCTTTCTCACTTTCTTTCTTTCTTTCTCTCTCTTCCCCCCTCTCTCTCTCTTTCTCTCTCTCTCTCCCTCCCTTCCTCCCTCTCTGTTCAAATTAAAATAAATAAATAAATAAATAAAGGTAAATAAAATAATTTTTAAATAGAAAGAAAAAAGTTAGAAGACTTAAGAATATCATGGACAGAAAGTACTTCAAACATATATAATTCAAGAGTGATGGTTAAAAATGTACGTAACTAGCTAAGAGCGTAGTCACCACAGTGTTTAGCAATGATGGAATACTAAAGGTAGCAGTTAAACTCTAAAGGGTTAAAAACTCATAAAGAAAATATTCATATAAGGAAAAAGAATCATCCAAGATAGAGATTTCACACATTACCTCAGAGAGCAGAGCCTGAGCCTTCTGCTCTGGCAGCAAGCGCAATCCCGCTGTTGCCTTCAGGACCACGGGGGTTTTCTTCCAGTGACTTCGGGGGATTGAGTCTTTGGCCACCTCTAAGAGTTCTTGAACAGTCTCAGCACCCTTTAAAAGAGACAGCCCATTCATTCAGGGAACACAATGTTCAATGGCACTGTTCTATTTCTGCCACATGGGTTGGGGAGCTGGCAGTGGACTCCAATCCCCCTCGGCTCTGCAGGAACAGAAACCTAGAGAAATGGGCCACTTCAAAGGAAAATCCATTTCATTTAAAGTCACAATAAATATTATTTCATAGTGTGATCATTTTAGTTGACTTTTACTTAAGCATTTTTTTCTTTAGGGTCTGGTCACTCCAGGATTCCCTTCCTCCAGACCAGTGGATCCTGGGCACTTGCATGCACTCCGAATGTGTTTCAGGCTGACCAGACCAGGGATTAGAGCATAGTTTCCATGTGGGATGTGGCTTCCCTGGAGCTGTGCATGGAGCTGGTCCTACTGTTTATATCCACATAAACTAGCTTTAGGTCAGAAAGTTGGGTATGGTGAAGGAAACCTAGCAGTTGCAGTCAGAAGTCTTGCTTGCTAGCCCTGTGACCTAACATAGGTTATTTACGGCTTTCCTGGGGCTTGGTTCCCTTGGATGTGAGACAGGAAACACTGCATACCATCACTAAAACTGCTGTGCATGTTCGATGGGGCGGAGCACATGTGGCTGCTACACGCATACTAGCTAAGGCTGCTATCACGCTACATTTTTTACAGTCTCCTTAAGAACAAAACATGCCAGGCTCATTTCCGTATCATGCACCCACATGCATGGTACATACATGCTCAATTTATGATCAATGAAAACCATTAAACCCTCTGTTTTTGAGCGAAACGCTGTCCTTTAATCATTATTATTAGTAACCACAATACAATCATCTTTTCTAAATATCAAATCAGTTTCCGAAAATGTAGTAGCATCTAGTTTTCTAGCACATTTGCCATTTCACAGGCCACTGAACAGAGAAAATACATTCTCTCAGCTTTTCAAGCTCAAACCATTTTTTTGCTTGTGTTTTATAACTGCCAGAGGGTGCATGTACTCTTGGGGCGGGAGTGCAGGAAAAGGACCGCTCCAGCGTGGTATGGTCATGCCACAATCCTTTTTCCTCTATTCCTCACTCCCATGAGGATTTTTGGGTGCACACACATGCAGGCACATTTTTTATGCCACTGGGGCCAGTATTCAAACGGCGATCAACCGTGAGGAATCCAGCTTTCCAACAGAGTGCTTAACTGCTACACTGTGGCACTGGCCAAGTTCAAATTCTTTTTTTTTTTTTTTTTAAGTTTTTGCTATAGGACATATGCACTTGCTGGAGACAGGGAGAAAAGAGAGAAAGAGATAAGGAAAGTGAGAAATAAGCCCGTCCCCCCCCCGCACCACCACCACCAGGAGGGATGGCCATGCCACAATCTCTTCTCCTCCAATCTCCCCATGGGTCTGGGACTGGAACCGCACAGTCAGACATGTGGGTTCCAGCCAGCTCCACCTCTGCACCACATGCCAGCCGGCTCAAACCATGTTTAACATCAGGTTTCTCTCTGGGTAACGATGATCCTAGTAACACTGAACAGTACCTTTACATCTGCTCCTCAAGTTCAGCACTGTGTCTTATTCTATTTTATTGCAGTGTGGCCTCAGACACACTGGGTGTAGTATGTTGTGGGTGCTCAAAGGGAAAATACAGTCACCACACACTCTCCACTCATCCTCTACTACTAACGGCGGCTGTCATGGGTTGTTGCCTGATTTCTCAGGTACGGGCTAGATTTCATCCCTTATTGGGGCACACTGAAATGAAAGCGATTGTGTCTCTATCCTATCCCCTCCACTGCCATATTTATGCCTCATATTCTATAGAACATCAATCTATTTTCTATGTTTACATTAATCAACGCAACTGATGGCTCTAAAACAAATCTTGAGCAGTAAATATACAGGGAACAATTTATCCCTCTCTCTCTTTTTTTTTGCTAGAGGTCATTTGCACTTGCCAGAGAGAAACGGAGGCTGAGATAAAGAGGGAGAAAGTACTGGCTGATGTGCTGCGGTCACACCACAATCTCTCCCCCTCCACTTTGCCGTCCTGTTGGGATTCTGGGCACACAGGCACACGCTCTTGGCATGTTTTCCACACCTCCACAACCAGGATTCAAATGGAGTCTGCCATGTGGGGTCCATCTCCCTTAACTACTAGACATCGGGGCTGGCTTGAGAATAAACTCTTAAGAGACTGTGTCATCTCTGTATGACCACAATCTATTTTCTTTCTTTCTTTCTTTCTTTCTTTCTTTCTTTCTTTCTTTCTTTCTTTCTTTCTTTCTTTCTTTCTTTTCTTCCTTCCTTCCTTCCTTCCTTCCTTCCTTCCTTTCTTCCTTCCTTCCTTCCTTTCTTTCTTTTTTAATTTGCCAGAGACAGAGGCAGAGAGAGAAAGCACCCCAATGGGGTGTGGTCACATAGCAATCCCTTCTCCTACACTTCTCCACCCTGTCAGGACTTTGAGCAAGCACACCCATGCATCTGGCAAGGCTCTCAAGCTCTGGGGCTGGGACTCGAACTGCAATGTCAACCATATGGGATCCAGCTCCCTAATCACAGACTTTGGGTCAGCTTGACCACCATCTATGTTCTAGCCTCCTTCCACCCAGCCCTAGTGGGCCTAGGGTATATAATTACTGTTATCCAGGACATTAATTGAGGACTAATCTCATGCATGACCTCAGAATCATTAGTGAACAGCATACTTACTAGCACTGGTGCTATCTAGTTAAGGCACTGAGAATCCAAACATCAAAGCATAAGCAACTTACCTGCTTAGGTTGGTCTACAAAAGCAGAAAGTCCTGGCTTCACAGAATCAAAAATTTCCCCTTCCAGAATTGGAAGTTGCCCTATTTTGTCCATGGAACAAAACAGAAGAGAAACAACTGATTACCACAAACTGGGCTGCCTCAGATCTTGGGCCCTGAAGACTTTGCTAAGATTTACAAGAGCCTGTTCTTCCCCCCAAGTGTTTCCAAATGATCCCACTAGTGAGGAATATCATGCAGGAGTATTGGGAGGTGGGATTAGAGGGCAACAGGCAGCCCTTGAGGGCCTCTGTCATTTCTCTGTGGATACCTAGCTCTTGCTGCTCCTTTCCATGGACTCCCTAGGCAACCTGAGAAAGAAACACTGACAATTTAGAAAAAGTTAATCTTCAGAGTCTTCAGAGTCCCTTCTCCAAGGATGACAGTGAAGTTCTTCTATGATCCTTCTTCCAAGACCACTCTGAATCTTCTAGATCCCTGGAGTATTAACTATCTCTGGAGAAGGATGAATTCTATATTTCTCAGACATATGGGTTTGAGCAGCCAGATTTCTCTTAATTTCACATTGAATTAAACCACGTGTTCTCTGAAGAAAGATACTGAATAGAACACTAAGATTCTTTTTTTTTTTTGGAGAGGTTTTTACTACAGGGTGCATGCACTCACCAGAAAGACAGAGAGAGACAGAGAGAAAGAAAGCGAGACATCGCCCCCCACACCACAATCCCTTCTCCTCCATTCTCCTCTCAGAATCTTGGCCACACATGCACATGAGCCCAGCCTGAGTTAAAGCCACTGGGTCCAGGACTCGAACTGCGGTCGACTGGGAGTCCAGCGACAGCCATTATGCCAACTGCTGGTCCAGAGTAGCACTAAGATTCTATAACTCACATCCTATACTCTCAACACATTTGTTTTTGAGAGGAGATGCTGAAGTTCGGGTTTGCGGACTCTGGTGAAAGTTCCAGGCCCCTTACCTGGTATCTTCTGCACAAATGTGTAAACATGAATTCGAGTTCCAGTGCTCCCTGCATCAAACATAATTCCATACAAGGTGTTGGCACTGACGTTGACAGGACACATGGAGGACAGGAAGACACCCTCAAACCAAGTCTGCTGGTCTCTGTAGAAGACAGTGCTGTAGACACAGGACACCACCAGCATGAAAAAGACTGTGCCCCAGGAAGTGGTCATCATCTTCCCAAGATGTGGTTGGGTCTAGGCTGTTGTTGCAGAAGCAGTGCTGCTCACACCCGCAGTGACTTTTAGGACAAAGACACACATGGTTAGACCAACTGGCTTTTTGGTTATACCTGTAAAAGAAGAAACACCCATTACAGAAACCCTATCCCTGTCCCCCAGCGTTCCTTCTCTTCTCCTATTTCTAATAACCAGTACAACAAGCTTAACCAGGGTGATGTAGGTTCTTAGCACCTTCTCTGAAGGGTATCTAGTTCCAAGAGGAAATTGGGAGTTAAAGTATATTTTCCTGTACTTTGTGTCACCCTTTAAAAAAAAAAAAGAATTATTTAACTTAATTTTATTTATTATCATTTTTATTTTTAAAATTTGACCAGAGAGAAGCAGAGAGGGAAGGGAGAAGGCAAGTGGCTAGGTCCAGGACTTGAACTTCAGTCAGCTATGTGGCAGTTCAGCACCTCAATCACCCTGCCACCTGCTGGCCCTTTTTAAATTTTTTTTTTTTTTAAATAAGAGAATGAGTCTGGTGGCCTGATGTTAAGGAAGCTGATCCCACATGACCAACATGGTGTGAATCCTGCTGGCTCCTGGTTTGAAAAATACTCTATGCGTGCGTGCGTGTGTGTGTGTGTGTGTGTGTGTGTGTGTGTGCATGCCCCAAATCCCAATAGGATGGAGAGATGGAGAAGGGACTGCAGTGTGACCACATCCCATTGGAGGGTGCTTTCTCCCTCTCCTCATCTGCCTCTCTGTCGCTTTATGGCAAGCACTTAAGACCTATGTCAAAAAAAGAAAAGAAAATGAGAGAGAGAGAGAAAGTACTTCTGAAAGGGTCTTACTGTCGTGATTCTCCGCCCCAGCCTTACAGATAGGCAGGGTTACAGGTGTACAGCATCACATCTGGCCTGTCCAGGCTGATTTAAGACCTGCATGTGGGCCTCCTGTGTGGCCCCAGACTTGTGTAGTAGTGCTCTAATGGTTGTCTTAACACAGGTGGCTAGTAGTTGCTTTTTTTTTTTTTTTTTAAGGTTTTTGCCAATAGGGCGCACACACGCATCAGAGACAGACAGAGAGGGAAAGTGAGAATCCAGCCCCTGTGCAATGGCCACATCACAATCCCTTCTCCTCCATTCTCCTCTTGGGATCTTGGCCATGCACACATATGCACTTGGCATGATTTTCAAGCTGCTATGTCCAGGGACTTGAACTGTGGTCAGTCATGTGGGATCTAGCACCTATCTTCCGTGTCACCTGCTGGTCCACATGCTTTGCTTTTAAAGGAAGAGTGGTTCTCATATACGTAAATGCTCTCGGTCACCCAGTTCTATTACTGAATCTTTCATCTTTTGGGTTATTGGAAAAGTCAAGATACATCTTTGCACAGAAAAATAGAAAAATGTCATGACTTTTCCAATGATTCAATATCATGAAAACTTTTTCTTTACATTATAAGCTAAAATGACTCCTCTATTTTCCCCTCCCTTCTTCTTCTTCTTCTTCTTTTTTTTTTTTATAGATTTTTGCTATAGGGTATGTGCACTTGCCAGAGAGACAGACAAAGAAAGTGAGAAATCTACCCCCTGGCCATGCTGCAATCCCTTCTCCATTCTCCTCTTGAGATTTTGGGCACGCACACACACGCACCTGGCATGAGTTTGAAGCCACTGGGTTCTGGACTTGAGTCACAGTCAACTACAGTGATAATCAAACAATGTAACCATTATGCCATCTGCTGGTCCCTCCTTTCTTTCCTGACAGCTAATAGTTCCAATTTCTTTTTCTTTTTTTTGGAGGGGGGAGAGATTTTTCGCTATAGGGCGTGTGCGCTTGCCAGACAGACAGAGAGAGACAGAGAGACAGAAAGCGAGAAATCACCCTCCAGGGGGGATGGTCATGCCGCAATCCCTTCTCCTCCATTCTCCTCTCGGGATCTTGGGCACGCACACACATGCGCCTGGTGTGAGTTTTAAGCCACCGGGTCCAGGACGCGAACCGCGGTCGACTACGTGGGAGTCCAGCGACATAGCCATTACGCCAACTGCTGGCTCCCCCAATTTCTGAATTAAGGTCACAAAATTACAAAGAAGCTATAAAGTCCCTATCACTGGGGTATTCACAGCCTCTTTCAGTTAGGCCACTGGAGTAACATCTGTGATCAACAATATTACTAGGAGATTGGTCGAATGACCATATTTTAAAAGAAAGAAATCAACTTAATATGAAAACACTTAAATAGACCACTATGGTTTTAAAACAGCCTTCACAGATCTTGGGTCATGTTATCACCAAAACAACTTGGGGTAGATGGGCAAATTAAGACAGAGAGGTTCTATGACTTCCTGAAAGTCATAAAGCAAGTCAGTGGTGGTGAAGGCTTTACTCCTATCTACCTTCTTCCCCAATTCCAAAATGCCTCCTTTATGCCAACTTACTGTCCACATTTCTTTCTTCCTCTCTCTTTCTCTTTTTTTCTTTAAATTTGCTAGAGGGAACCTATGTTCACTGGAGAGACAGAGAGAAAGAGAGAGAAAAGCGGAATGCACCCTACATGGGAGATGGCCAGGCTACAATCTCTTCTCCATCACTTCTTTCAGAATTTTAGGCATGCATGCACACAGGCCCAGTGTATTTCTCAAGCTGCTGGGTCTGAGACCATGCAGTCTGCCTTGGGATCCAGACACCTTCATCACCGTGCCACCAGTTGGCCCCATCCACACTTAATGTGTGCACAGCATTATTTGTTTTGATTTGGTAATTATGGTAGGTTGGATGTAAAAGCTGCTGAAAATCTAGAGTAAGGTTACATGAAACTATAAAGAGAGCACAGGGTCTTGGGGTCAAAGACCCTGGGCTGGTCCTAACACCTGGATTTGTTGGGTAGTTGCATGCTTTTGGGCAAGTCATTTGGCCTTTATGAGACTCCATTTCCTCACATGTAAAATGGGAATAATAACTTGCCCTCCCTCCCTTTCATGGTTATCAGCAAAGTCAAATGAGATACTATCAATATACAGAACAGCTAGGTTTTCTGTTGTTTTTTAAATTTGCCAGAGGGCTCATGCACTTGTGAGAGAGGAAGAGAGAGACAGAGAGAGACAGAGAGGGTTAGAGGGAGAAAGTACTGCCCAGTTGTCACACCACAAATTCTTCCTCCTCTGTCTTTATGAGATTTGGGGCACGAACACATGTGTGTCCAGCCTTTTTTTCCATGTCACCAGGGCTGGAATTCAAACCATGCAGTTGGCTATGTGGGATCCAGCTTTCTTTCTTTCTTTCTTTTTTTTATTTTTGGAGAGGTTTTTTTTTTTTTTTTTTTCTTTTTTTCGCTATAGGGCACATACGCTCGCCAGACAGACAGAGAGAGACTGAGAGACAGAAAGCGAGAAATCACCCCCCAGGGGGGATGGCCATGCCGCAATCCCTTCTCCTCCAGTCTTCTCTCGGGATCTTGGGCATGCATGCACACGTGCCCAGCCTGAGTTTAAGCCACTGGGTCCGGCACTTGAACCATGGCTGGCTACATGGGAGTCCAGCAACATAGCCATTACACCAACTGCTGGTCCCCCCCCCATCATTCTTCAACAAAGCTGTTATAGTGTTTAAATGTCCTTGAAGTCTGTGATAAAAACACTTGCTAGTGCTCAATGTTATAACAAAATCCATTCTACTTGATTCCTTTAGTAATAACTTTGTTTTTTCTCTTTTTTTTCGTAGAGGAACATTAAACTAGAAACAAACAAAAACATCAAGCATTCTTTGTTTTGGTGATTTGTGGAAGCTCAGGCTGTGTCCTACAATCTGATCTGAAAATGGAGAACTTCAGTCCTCAAGATCAGGGTTTCTCAATTTCTGCACCATTAACATTTGGAGCTGGATAATTTTTTTTTATTTTATTTCTTCACTGAGAAAGACAGTGTGCTTCCAACAGTGTCACAATGTCACAATCCACTCTCAACTTTAGTTAGCCCAGGGTCACAGACATGCCTAGCACACTCAGGGAGGTCTCTAGGTGCAAACCTACACCCTTGCCATGAGGAGCAACCTGACAGCATTATGTTTTACTGCTGTCCCACCGACCAGCTCCAAGGGCTGGATGATTCTGTTGTGAGAGCTCGTCTATGCATGGTGAGTGGTCAGCAGCTCTGGCCTCAGTGCAGCGATGCAGGCAGTAGGGCACCACTGCATAACAGTAGAGTCATATGGAAGGTCTCAGGTTTGGATCCCAGGTGAACCCGGGAAGACCACAATGTAGTCAGACCATGTCAAAGATACCTGTCTCTCACTCTCATGAAAGAAATAAACTTACAAAAGAATGCTTAGCAGCATCCCTGGCCTCTATCTACTAGATGTCAGTGACACCTCCATCCATCCCCATACACACCAGTTGTGATAACCAAAAATGTCTCCCGACATTACTGCTGGCTAGACGCTATTTGATTCTGATATTAATGAATAATACCCATCTATCCCTTAACAGGTGCTGCTTTGTGCTGGCCCTTAGTACTTTGCTCAAAAAACCTTTGGGTCTTCTGGTCTAGCTTTCATCTCTTAGAGCCTTGTGTAAGTCATAGTTACAGTTAATAGTTAAGCAATAAGAGCTGATTCCAAAGTTCCCTTTGCCCAGTTCCCCTATTTCTAACAGAATCCTGGGTGTATTTGGAGTACATATTAAAAATTCCCCATCATTCTCAAGTTTGTTGACCATCTAGGATTTGTTTTCTCAAAATGCCTCCTTCTCCACATGTGGCAATATTACATAAAACAAAGCCAATTAAAGTAATTGCATTTGGTGGGGCTAGCAGGTGGCGTGGTGGTTTAAGGTGCTGGACTCCCACATGGCTGACTACAATTCAAGTCCTGGACCTAGCGGCTTTCTTTCTCACTTCCCCTTTTTCTCTCTCTCTGGTCAAATTTTAAAAAATAAATTAAATAAATAAATCTTTAAAAAAATTAATTGCATTTGGAATTTTAAAATACTTAACTACAATTGGTCTAAAAAGTACTACAATTGATACTACAAAGGTGAGTTGGAATTATCTGTTTGAACATTTTTTAAGGCTGAACTTCTATGCTGTGGTTAAGAATGGGAGCTATGGGGTAGGAAAGGAGCAAATAAAATTGTTCAGCTTTTAGAATCCCAAACAGGAAGTGTTCGCCTGGGAAGTCTGCCACTGAAACAGGACAATTGCTGGGCCCGATTCTTCTTCTTCTTTTTTTTTTTATCTTTGTTTATTCAATTATTCCATGAGTGACAGAGAGAGAGAGAGCAAGCGAGCACCTCCAACAGGGTCTAGACCCCACAATCCCCCCCAGTCCCCAGTCAACCCTGTGTCACAGGCACACATGTGCCCAGGGTACCAAGGAAGGTCTCCAAGCTTGTACCAGGAACCTTCTTGTGTGGGCCAGTCCTGCAGAGCACGGTGCTCCACCATCCTGCCCCATACTCACATCTTCAATCACTCCCTTTGGCTGATTCTTCTGCAGCAAACAGGCTGGTCATGGGCCAATCTACATAAGTGAAAACAGAAACAACCTTTTCAGAGTCTCTAAATATTAACCAATTGTTACTTTGCCCAATACTTAACTCCTCCACTCCCTGAGGAAGTGTATTAGAGGTGCGTGAGGCAACAGCTTTCCTCCACCTCTCTGACAGGTAGCTTTCTCAGGGGTGGCCCCTATTTTCTGTATTATTGTAGTTCTGAAAAGCCTCTCCAGCTTGTATTTCCACTGAGCAAACATTCTTTTCTTCCAAAAGAGATTTCAGGGAAAGAAAAATGTGAGGAATCTGAAGCCATGGCTGGGGATGAAGACCATTCTCAGCAATCACTCTGAAGGGACCATGCACAGTTATTGTGAAGGGCCCCAGAGGAACCCTGTGGAGGGACTTCAATCACATCAATGTCGAGCTCAGTCTCCTTGGAAAGAAACAGAGGCTGAAGGATGACAAACGGTGGGGAAACAGAAAGGAACTGGCTACTGTTCGCACTATCTGTATTCACGTACAGAACATGGTGAAGGGTGTTACATTGGGCTTCCGCTACAAGATAAGGTCTGTGTATGCACATTTCCCCATCAACATTGTTATTTTTATATTTTAATTTTTTTGAGAAGTTTTTCGCTATAGGGCACGTGTGCTTGCCAGACAGAGAGAGACAGAGACAGAAAGCGAGAAATCACCCCCCAGGGGGGATGGTCACGCCGCAATCCCTTCTCCTCCATTCTCCTCTCAGGATCTTGGGCACGCATGCACACGCGCCCAGCCTGAGTTTTAAGCCACCGGGTCCGGGACGCAAACTGCGATCGACTATGTGGGAGTCCAGCGACATAGCCATTATGCTAACTGCTGGTTCCCAACATTGTTATTGAAGAGAATGGGTCTCTTGTTGAAATCTGAAATTTCTTAGGTGAAAAATACATCTGGAGGGTTCGAATGAGACCAGGTGTTGCTTGTTCAGTATCTCAAACCCAGAAAGATGAGTTGATCCTTGAAGGCAATGATATTGAACTTGGTTCAAATTCAGCTGCTTTGATACAGCAAGCCATGACAGTTAAAAATAAGGATATGAGAGACCAGCAGTTGGAGTAATGGTTATGTCGCTGTAGTCCCACGTAGTAAACCACAGTTTGAGTCCCAGACCTGGTGTCTTAAATTCGTGCCAGGTGCATGTGCTGGCGTGCCCAAGATCCCAAGAGGAGAATGGAAGAGAAGGGACTACGGTGTGGCAACTCCCCTGGGGGGTGATTTCTCACTTTCTGCCTGTTTGTCTTTCTGGTGAGCATACGCGCCCTATAGCAAAAATGTCTCCAAAAAAAGAAAGAAAGAAAATAAAAATAAGGATATAAGAAAATTCTTGGATGGTATCTATGTCTCTGAGAATGGTATAGTCCAGCAGGCTGATGAGTAAAACCTAAGAGTTCTCCAGCTGCAGTAATAAGCCAGATAATTTCTAAGGCCATTATATGCTATTTTAAAGATAATAATAAAAGACAACAATTGATTTGGAAAAAAAAGAAAAGAAAAATGCATCCTAGGTATGTGTTCTCACAGAGCGAAAACTGCAAAGTCATGCCAGGTGCTCAGTGTAAAATCAAACAATAGATTTTATTAAGGAAAGGATGAGTACACAAAATGCCCCTTCTGCTCTCAGCACCTGCTTCTAACACCGCTTCTAACCTAACTTTAAGAAAGCTATTATAACAATGGTATTAGAAAGGCTTATTATTAGTTCACAGAATAGCATCCTAGTTTACGTGACTCCATTATACACATAAAACCTTTGCTCAAATATCATCTTCTCAGTGAGATTTTGTCTTAACAAAAATGCAACCCACCTGGCCATATGTGCATTTTCCCACCTTCCTTCTCTGCCTTTTTCCATAGCACTTCTCACTTTCTAACACATGAAACAATGAACTACCTTTGTTTATTTCTGTATGTATGTACTCCCTGCTTTTGTCCCCATGTGAGCTCTATGTAGACCGTGATTTTATGTCTGCTTTGTTTCTGATATGCTCCTGATGCTGGCAGCGTGCTAGGACATAGTAGGTGTTGAATAAATACTCTGACGGGATAAGCAGTGATCCAGTAACTCAAGCACTAGATCTCTCCCATTTAATAAGACTGTAATAGCTGACTTCCTTCCAAAAAGATATTAACTACCTTGGAAGACAATTATTCTAAGCTTCCAAGGAAGGACTGTTTCTTCACAAGTGTCAGTTATATAAAAGTGACATCTGGGGAACCAGCAGTTAGCATAATGGCTATGTTGCTGGACTCCCATGTAGTCGACCGCAGTTTGCATCCCGGACCCAGAGGCTTAAAACCCACGCTGGGCGCGTGTGCGTGCCTAAGATCCCGAGAAGAGAATGGAAGAGAAGGGATTGCGGCGTGGCCATCCCCTCTGGGGGGTGATTTCTCGCTTTCTGTCTCTCTGTCTGTCTGGCGAGCGCACGCACCCTATAGTGAAAAAACTCTCAAAAAAAAAAAAGTGACATCTGTCCAAATGCGATAAATTTTATGTGTTACTCAAAACAATGTAGACAGTCAAGTTTAAAGGTGGGATTATACATCAGTGTATGTAAATACACTCTTTTCATATTGGTCTTCTCAATCTCTTGCCCACCATCCTTATTCACCCCTATCAAAGTCTCCTCTTGATTGAGACTTGGGTGCAGCCAGTGGTTGTCATTTTGCCCATCCCCTTTTAAGGTCTTCACAAGGTCTTTCTGTATCTCTAATAAACACGAATACTCCCCACTTAACCTCCCCAGAGCTGCACATTCCGGCTTCCCTTCTTCCATGTCACCAAGACCTGAGAGACCTGAGAGACCACAATCCCAGAGGACCTGGGCCCCATTTGGCGCTCACCTGCCCGTGTCTGCCTGTTCTCGTCAATCTTTGTTTCCGCTTGCTGCCTTTTGCCCTGTGCTCCTATCTCAGCTCTTCTGAATCAGGCTAGTTTCATAAACCACACTCACCTTTGTGCCAGTTTACAACTATGTGGCACTGTGCTAACTCACTCACTGAGTGAAGGCACTCCTCCTTTATCCACCCCTTTGGAAACTCTGCAGCCTGGCTCATTTACTCTGAGTTAAATGCCAACCAGTAGACTTATCACCTCCAGGGCAGAGCTGCTGAGGAACTGAATTCTCTGTTGTTTCTACACTAGCGAAACAGTAGAAAAACTAATACTGCTTCTTGAGAGTTTCTATCCTTGAGATAAAATTTAGAAAGCTGGACATTAAATGATCTAATTGCTAAGCATTTACTGAATTCTAATATATACCAGACACTGTGCTAGGTTCTAGATACACAAAGAGGAATCAGATATAGTCTCAGCTCTTGGGGAAGTTTCATCTTGCAAGAAAAACCAGACAAGTAAACCAGTACGATGATAAGTTTTCAGACAGAAATGCAGACAAGGTGCTACAGAACACATGCAAGAGACAAGGAAGTAATACAGCATGGAGAGGGTGCAGGGTGGGAAGGGAGTGAGGGGCTCCTTAAGGGATGAGAGAACCAAGGTGAACCTTGAATCAGAGGTAGGAGTTACCTGGGGTAAGTAACATCAGAGAATACTGAGAACATCAAATACGAAGAACATAGTAAGACTGGAATACAGAGGTGTACCAGAATAAGGAAGACAGGTGGGAGGAAGGAAGGTTCTGGAAGCACTGAATCAGATTTTAAAAGGAGTAGACTTGCTTTCCTTGTATGGTTCCATACAGACACCTGATTGGTAATTAGGTCTTTCTACTCCCTGTGTAAGTAAGCATCAATATGAACTGACTTGGATAAAATAATCCAGTATTTCTCAACAGTGGAAGATACTGGAATGGGACAGATGACTAGAAAGGTCCATGAAAAGTTCTGAAAACAGTGAACTATAAAATCTCCCACAGCCGCTTCATCTGGGCTCCACAGCAAGCCGACTTTAACAAAGTTAAAAATTAAACATAAGGTAAAAATGTAACCAGAATGAAATTTTTAAACAGTAAACTGAACTATGGTAATGGAAATAGCCAAACCACTGTGATATGCATAACTTATGTAAGCCAAACACAACCCAGGTGAGTCTAATAAGGAAGTATGGGACAGATTTCGGCACAGTGAGCAATGCTTCACCTGGGGACAGAACTTGGGATCTACATACCCAACACAAAGCCCTGAAACACCTTGCTATCCGAAGGGTGTCTAAGGTAGGGGATGCAATCTCTTTTGTATTCCCGAAGCCAAGAACTGGGCTTGGAAAATGTCAGGCACCGATAACTGTATCACAAATTGACTTGGTACAAATGGGTGGATAGAACATGCCAACCTAGCATGGGGCAGGATGCACTCCTTCCCCAGGGTCTCGCTGTAGCCTGTGTGCCACACCAACTCCTGTTCCCCTCCGAATCAGTCCATTGATCGGAGCACTATTCCAGGAAGCGTATTTATTCACTGGGGGCCGGCAGATGGCATAGCAGTTATGTCGTTGGACTCCCACATGACTGACTGTAGTTCAAGTCCTGGACCCAGTGGCTTGAACTCCACACCGGGTGTGTGTGCAACCAAGATCCCAGGAGGAGAATAGAGGAGAAGGGATTGCAGCACGGCCATCTGCCCTGGGGGATAGGGGGGTGCTTTCTCACTTTCCCTCTCACTTTCTGTCTCTCTCTCTCTGGCAAGCGCACATGCCCTAAGACAAAAACCTTTTTTTTTTTTTTTTTTTTAAGAGAGAGAGATTTTTGCTATAGGGTGCATGTGCTTACCCAAGACACAGAAAGATAGAAAGCAAGAAATCACCCCTCAGGGGAGGATGGTCACGCTGTGATTCCTTTCTCCATTATCTTCTCAGGATTTTGGGCAATCACACACGAGTTTCAAGCCTCCAGGTCTGGGACTTGACCTGCAGTTGGCCATGTGGGAGTCTAGATATGTAACCATTATACCGTCTGCTGATCCCAGGCAAAAATTCTTAAAAAAAAAAAAAATTTCCCTTAGCTACTCTAGAAATTATCTGGGC